AAAGAAAAAAAAACAAATTTGAGACTGTAAGATCTCTAGCAACCCATATTTCATGGCTAAGATCCCTAAAAGACCCCAGTCCTGCCAAAGGAGGAAGTTCCTCTTTTGGAGAACTCTTGGAGGATTTTGTGACCCCTTAGGGATCCCCACTAAACTCTTGGAGGAAAAACGGCTTTATTCTCGTTCACAGCAACTCGAGAAGTAGGCAGTGGTGTTGTTCCTGAATTTCAGATGAAAAAAGTCAAATGACTTACCCATGCTTATGTCAGCTACTGAGTGACAGAGCCAGGATTCCAGTGCAAGCTAAGAGCTCTGTCTCTGGAGCCTATGACTTGGCCATTTTGCTGAGCAGTCTGCATTGATATCTCCAGAGTGTTGTGGAGCCTGGATGAACAAGGAGGTCTAATTCAGGGATACCCCAGCTCCTCATTTCCCAGGCTATAGAATAGGACCCCTGTGATCTGTCATCTCATTTCAGAATGGTGAGCCAGAAGGAAAGCAGGGAGAAGCAGGGCCAATTCTAGCGCTGGTAAGGCTAGCAGAGTGGTTGCTATAGCTAGGGTCAAGTGGTGAGTGGGGTGGGGTGGGGGAAAACTTGGCAAAAGTTTGTACCCTCTGGCTAAAGGCGTTTCCTCATGCAGCCCACCTGGATGTCTAGGGAACAGAGGCTCCAGCAGAGGGTGCCATAAGAGAGAGAGGAGTCAGTTTGTGGTACCAAACTGTCCTTCCTGTATGCTGAATTCTGCCTCACTATTCCGGCCTCAACCACCTTAGCTGACCTAGAAGGACGCTCTCTAACAACCCACACCAAACTTCCTCCTTCCTTCAGCGAGGCCCTTCCCTGTGGTCCTCCTTGTGCATTCCAGACCCGAGGGGGCTTCTAGTCAGCCTATCATATTGCCCCAGCAATGAACAAGTCCTTGTTCACCTTATTTCTGCTGACACAAGGATGGGACTTTTCAAAGGCATTGTGGGAGAGAGAGAGAGAGAGAGAGGAAGAAGAAGAAGAGCCAAACACGAACTGATCCTAAGGACTTTTACCTAAAATGTTCACACCAATTGTAAGAGGCAGGGACCCTTATTCTACAAATGGAGGAAAAGGGGCTCAAGCTGGTAAATGGTACAGCTGAGACTTGAATGCAAGTGGTGTACCCTTATGTAACACTACATTTTCCAAAGCAGAAAGGAAGACATACACACACACACACACACACACAGAGAGAGAGAGAGAGAGGGGGGGGAGAAATATTAAAGCTTTTAAGTCCTTTGTTTTGAGACAGGATCTCTCTATATAGCCCTAGCTGTCCTGGAATTCAAGCTGGCCTTGAACTCAGAGCTCCACCTACCTCTGATGTGCTGGGATTAAAGGCCTGTACCACCAAGCCCAGTCTCAAATTCTTTATTGTGCACTAGGCTCTATACACTTAAATTCCCCACAGGCATTCTTGCCTATCGTTGCATTTCTATAGGGTATGGCAAAGTTGGATGTGCATAAATGATGCCAAAGGAATTCTAAAGCAGCCTGAGGCCTCAGAGAACTGCCTGCCATATCCCTGGCACAGAGATAGGATACTTCCCCTTATCTTAACCTTGGCTGGTGTGGGTTCTAGACTCTTTTTCTCCTATGTCTCCCTAGACCACATGAGAACCTGGGTTGTCTTCCATAGTTACCCTTAGAACCTCCGAATACCTACCTCCATTTCTCTCCAAAGACTAGTCAACGCCCATGAGGAGCCCTCAAGAGCCACTCCTCCTCTAGCTTGGGGCTCACTTGTGCCTGGCTGCCTGGCAGCATATGGCTAGGGCCAGGTCTGCCCTTCAGAAGCTCAGCTCCCACACCCTGGCCCCTCCTGAGTTCAAGCTGTCCTGAAAGACAGAAGCCCCTTTGCCTCCACCTGTCCCCAGCCCCAGCAGAGCTGGCATGAGTTAGCTGCCCCCTTAACACAAGCCCTCTGCAGCTCTTGTTCCTGACATGAGAGTTTCCTCTAAATCCCCATACTGCCTTCTGTGACCCACTTAGACTCCTAACTCCACGGACCTAAAATAGAAAGCACTCAACGCAAGCTTTTCACTTCCCGAGACTGCTGAATAAAGCTTGCCTCCTTAGAAAAGGAGGTGCTAACCAAAGCGATAGTCGCCCACCTATTTAAAATAGGTAGCCGCCATTCATTTGTCCAGCCCAACCCAACTGTTTTCCACTTTGCCCCAGCTGTATTAATTTGGATCTCTCTCTCTCTCTCTCTCTCTCTCTCTCTCTCTCTCTCTC